TCAAATCAAACACTGCTGTCTTAAGTATTTCTGGGCTGGCTCTGAAAACACTCCAAGCCATAGAGGTTTAGTTCTTTAACAGTAAGTTACGTTTCAGAGTTCTTAAAATTCAGGAATATATGTACATATATTCATTACATATACATATACTTATATATAAACATATGCATTATATAATATATATTATAAAATATATTATTATTTCTATACATCCAGCCACAAAGGACTGATACTAGGCTGACAGTGTGCTGGCAGTGGATGAGATAAAAGGTGGGCAGAGCCATTACTGGCTTTCCTTGCATCTTGCAATTCCAGGTCATGGCACTTCCTTAAAGTTGAAAGTTTTACTTAAGAAATGAATTAATAAAAGTTGGTAAGCTTTTAAGAAAAGAGACCTCCCTATACTGTCAAAGTAACATTGCAAACTTCTCTGAGGTTACTTTTAATGGCAGGAATTCCTTCCTTCTCTTCTTACCTCTCCTCCTCCTCCACCTCCTACACTTCCGTCTTCTCCTCCTCCTCCCCATCCTTCTTCTTCTTCCTCATGTGGAAAAATCTGATTCTTTAGATATTTAAAAAGTCAACAAGGTGACATCTGGCTATGGGAGGGTGTGGGAATGAGAAAAGGTCATAAAAGATGATGGAGACTTCTGGAATGCACACAGGTGAAAGGAGGTGCCACCTGTGATAAAAAGGATTGATGCAGAGGTTTTTAAATGACTTTGGAGGGAAAGAGACTGAAGGAATTTCTAGTTTCTCTCCATCGACCCCCACATGCCTACTGTGGTAGGGTGAATGGAGGTTGGTGAGATGATGAAAAACATCATTTGCAGCTGCCTGGCTGTCACCACAAGACATCCTCTTCTCTGTGTGACTGACACACGTGTCTCATCTCAATCAGATGTGCTGATGTGTCATGGCTCTGGAGAGGGAAGCAGGGAGCAAGTTGTCTCACTGCTCTGCTGTGCGGGGTGACTTCCATTCAGAGGAGAGGGGCAGGAAAGCATGTCTAAGCCACGTTCTGAAATCCGATTTTACCTGCAGTGATGCCAGTAATATTAGTATCTGACTCCCCTGGGTAGTGTTCCGCCGAATCAGGAGCCAGAGGAGGGTGATTCAATGACCCCTTTAATCTCCAACAATGGTGAAATCAGGAATATCTCCAACTTTAACAAAAGGAATAATTGTTATTATGATAATGACTATTACTGCTCCAACTTCCACTGCGACATTTATTGAATAACTACTATGTCCCATCTAGCCTGAGTCCGGGACATGACATAAGATAAAATGCTACTTAGATGGTGTAACTGAAGGGAATTTAAGGAAAAGACAGAGAATCAGTGAAAGAACTGTTAAAGAAGTTAGGCAAAGACTTAAGCACCTGGATGCTGATTGCAGAAAGCAATTTCCA